CCAAGCCTCTACAACACCAGTGAGTCTTGGTTATCCGATGGCAGCAACTCCGCAACCAATGCAAACTAATTTGAATGACGGCCAAATACATCACCACCACTCGGGATCCCACCTTCAGCATCACGCTGTAATGAAAGATGAGGTTTGTCCTTTCTTTTCGTTGTTGACAAAAATGGAAGAACATTTCTGTGACTGACACCACATGCTTTTATTCAGAATGCTGAGAGTGATTCCTCACAGTTTGCAGTGGGACCTGAACTCTTGGGTCTTGTTTCAACCTCTGGAGGTAATGTGGCTGCTTGTGTAATTTTCTTGGAACATGGGCGGAAAATAAATGCTGGTGTATTTATTGCAGAGTGTGTCATGGGGAGTCCAAGCCCTGGACAACATCAGACGTCCGCGGCTTCCATGAAGAATTGGACGGAACAGGATCTAGAGCAAGCTTTGGATGCCCTGAGGCAGAAGACTATGTCTTTGACGAGGGCCTCGGCACACTTCGGTATACCTTCGACGACGCTTTGGCAACGGGCTCATCGAGCTGGGGTGAGTTTCTATTACTGTTTCTGCGTCTCGGCACGGTACTTTTTGAAATATTCTGTTGAAAACGTTCATAGAATATTTATCCGCAGATTGTTGATTGGCAATGAGTTTGTATATCGTAATGTTCGTTTACCAAGAACTTGTGTTGAGTAATATACTATTTTCCGTTGAAAGGAATTTTTTCCTTCTTCTGACAGACATAATTTCAACTTACGTGCAGTTCCTCTCCAGCGACGTTTTTTTCTGAAAATCATATTGTGTTACTGTACATTGATTACTGTCAGTACTGTACTCGTATACTATGGAAGAAGTGTGCAGAAATTTTTGTGAAGCATCCTGGGAAATGATACATGATTCTACTACAGTATCTGACTTGGACGTGCACGTAATTTATTTTCTTTTGAGATTAAGTCAGTTTACTTTCTGTGGATTGATTAATGTCGAGTTCATGATTCAGATGAAAGCTTCGTGACAGTCGAGGATTAAAGGAACGTTTTCGTTTTTGAACAACCGTTCAAAATGTTGAAATGTGTTGCGTCTTATTATAATATTATCTTCCTAGTTTTAATTCAGTACTGTACTATTAAAATTTCAAGTCAAATCACTGTTCGACTAACTTTCAAACATTGGGGTTATGTATTCTGCGTTTGATCGACAAAAATGTGTCGGGAAAGTGAAATGACAGAAGTTTGTTCTTCTAGGTTGACATCCCGAGACATATGAGCCCCATGAAAACATGGACTGATGATGATCTGCGTTCAGCATTGGAAGCTATGCGGGCAGG